CTCTAAATTTATTGTAGCATGTAGGACCCTTCAGCAACTCAAATGACATTCGGAAGGAAAATATGCTCTCCTGCAAATTTGTTTATATATAATATATAGTAACATCTTTCAGTTGAGCTCCATTTCCATCCTAATTTGGAATTTAAACTCATTTTTTTTGTTACCTTAATGTTCTTTACATTTGTCTTTATTTTCATAGGTTGGTGCTGGCCTAGAATGTGGTATTGGTGTGGATGACTTCATGGATTGGGAAGTTGGGGACGTCGTTGAGGCCTTCAATGTGGTGAAAAAACAACGGACGCTTGAAGAAGCATCTGATTCAGTTACTGCTGCCCTAGCAGAAGCTGGACTTTGAGATGGGCGGATGACTGCTAGATAGGTTTGGAGTTCCTAAGCAAGCATTTTTGGTGATGGTGTCAGAAGCTTCATCGTTGCTCTATGCTGATTATTTTCCTTTGATGGCTGATGATTTTTGCAGAGACAGGTCGCCATCATATCACCCCATACTCCCATCACCTCAGCAATTGGTTTTTGTGGTGATGGGGGAGGGGAGGGGGTTCCTTTGTTTGATGTCGATTCCTGATGTATATAATACATAGCTGAGCAGCTGCTTTCTGTTCATCTCCCTCTCCCCTGTAGTTTTGAGAGAAACTATATACGTTTTAGCTTTTACTGATGGTTCACCAGCACATGTAAAAGCAAAGTCATGATTATTTGGCAAATCAACTCCAATTTCTTGTACGGCACATAGAATTTGGCTTCGTTTTAGCTTGCGGGACTCATGCAAGTCCATTCAAAGAGTAGAGTGGTGGAAGTTGAGTAATGTCGAACAAGATGTTTCTGGTAATCAAACAAAGACAGAGATTTGATTGAAAACCGCACTTCCATTTTGCAAGAGGATGAATGCTCGTTAGAGAATTCCACAATTTTTTTTTTTAAATTTAAATTACATTAACACACATAAATATCAACCACATAAACCCACATGAAACATGTACTATGTTAAGTGCGTAACACACGGTCCGTCTAATAATTGCTTGGTTCACAGAGCATTGACAGAGAAAGAGGACAGAAACGAGCAGCAGCAGTATTGTACTGTTATGGTAACGTGTCTGGCTATAAAATTGCTTCAACTTTATATTCTCCCACTATAAAATTGCTTCAACTTTATATTCTCCCAATAGTGGTGGGGGAATAATCTTCTAGGGCCTGGAGTCGGAGCCATCATTTCTGGCAAGCATTTGATACTTGTCCTTCCTGGTGCGATTGGTGCACTTGAATCCCAACACCATCCAATTTGGTGCACTTGAATCCCAACACCATCCAATCGACACCTGAACTTGATTCTCAATCTTGAATTTGTAACCATCAGCACCTCTATTGACGTTGTTGGGATTGATGTGTTGAAGGAATTGCAAATGGTAAAAAGGGATGGGATTCGTAAGGAAGGAGAAGGAATCCAATCACCTGTAACCCCTTACCTTTGTCCCGTGGAACATGCTCCCCTCTGCCATCACAGCAACTGACACGATGCTAATACTATTCTCCTTCTTCTTCTTCTGCCACTGCTGCTGCTATCTCTGCAAACAACGGACTGATCCTAAGCAGGTAACGCTCCCTGCATGTTTGTCCCCCTCCGGACACACCACCAAATCCCCATGTTTCTTGAGCATCCACGGCATGGTTGCTTCATCCTTGCTTCTGTCCCTTGTTAATCTAAACAGTCGATATTGGAGATATCAGCTCCGACAGCCTGCTCAGGCTGTATGTCACTGCACTCACCCTTCTCTGCACTGCTGCTGATATGAAAACCTGGTCGACTAGTGTCCGATGATTACACACGTACACAACGCTGCCATGGCTATTATGACCTCTGCTTTTGGCCACAAGAATTCTGCAGGTGCTGAGGAGGATGCCCATTGGTGCCCATAACCCAATTGCCAGGCTATTCAATGGAGTAGGCCTGACCAGTAAGCGACCGTCGTGGAAGATTTAACGGCTCAGGATATTCCATTCTTGGCAATGCTGACAGCTTCCCCTCCTCTTGTCTAATAGGTGCGGTTGCTAGAAGTTCATCATTAATAATCAACAATTCAACACATGGCGAATTGGAATTGAAATTGCTCCTCAATAAAATAAATAACAGATATTCAAAGCTGTACAGTGATGTATTTTAAGCCGAGAGATAACAGTATAATGCAGAATAACACAAAGTGTTGCACAAACTACAGCAAACTAAAGAATTGAATGATAAATGGGAATGACTAAGCTTCTAAAAGTTGAATGTTTTGTAGGACAGCACGGCATTTTCCTCAAGTATTACGAACTATATGATACATACCATTGACAATAATATGAATGGATGATCTTTGAGCTCATCTCCTCACCAAACGTCAATCTCCTTCTCCTCCTCATGATTGATACCATCCCTCGTTGACATTAGCATGATGACTCTTGATGCTTTCAAACCTAACATACCTACCATGATTCCCAGCCTGCAGGTCACAAAGCCCATAGAGTATCCACCTCTTGCCCTTAGCTTTGTGCAGATGACATGGCCCACACCCAAATGGTCTTTTAGAAAAGGCTCCACCATGATCCTAGGAATACATGTCAGCGCATATTTCTTCCTTCCATACCTCGATAATACCCTCCGTGTGCTCTCTCGAGAATCCTTGAGAAAGAACATGGGAAGAGTTGTACCTCGAGACTGCCTTTTCATCCGCCACCCTAAGGCCCACAGTGGACACAAATATCATGGCTTGAAGCCATAGGATCGAGGAGATAAGAAGCAGCGTGAGGGCTCTCAGTGGCCTGCCAGCTTCGAGGGCTATGAGCATGAAGTAAGGAAAAGATTTCTTTGTGATAAGGAGAGCTCTTTCCAGTGGCGAAGGAGCTGCATGTTAAGCTTCTTCCTTGTCTCCTTCTCCCCATTACCTTCTTCCATAGACAAATCAGCGGGAAATATTCTAGTCACTGGCATTGATTGATTAGGCTTGTTAATTTCCTGGAATATACTGGAAGGGAAGCGAAGGAGTTTGGTGGAGTATAGCATTGGGGAAATGCTTTTTGAGGGAGACAGGCTGCTGCACAAATGATACGAGCCAAAGCATGTTGTGCTTGATTGATTCCGACGGGACAGTGAAAATCCTAACAGGTGGCCAATGGTTTTCCATATGTTTTCTTCTGTTCCAGGTATCATCGCGCAGTGCGAGCTTTTCTTTTCCCTGAAGGGGAGGGAAGGAACAAAATGCAAATAAATGTCCATCAGTTCGAAATACAAACTCTTCCCCTATGCAGTTGAGTCTTGAGATCAGCACATGCCGCTGCTAATTCACTTTTGATCCCATGCATGTTTTCTCAAGATTGAAACATATGTATGCAGTATTCTACGGTCATATAGCCTAACTAAAAGGAGACAAATATCCCTTTCCGCATCCATGGCTAAGCAATAAACAGCAACAGTAATAGGAAGAGCACCTAGCTCATCTGCAAGCTCTAATTTCTTGATAGCCCCTCATACTTGTCAAAGGGAGCAAAAGAATCATAAAATTGAGGTGTGCCCAGCACCTACAACATGGAAGAATAACCAAAGTTTCCCTTGTGTCTCTGCATAATTCTCTTTTGTAAGGATAAAGTTGAGGACAAGTGTCCCGCAGCATTCATAAGCTCTCCAGCTGGGTTTCTTTCAACAGTGCACTACCACTAAGTGAAAGCGAAGCGCATGTCCAGTCCCTTAAATGACATGGTTCTGATCACGCCTTAGCCAAAATTTGCGTCTATATCTTGCCTACAATCCTTAATAGCGTACCACAATACAATCCTTAATAGCACACCACAATACAATCCTTAATAGCGTACCACAAAACAACTTACAGCCGATCATAGGAGACACAGATAAAAGAGATCCAGCCTATATGCAGAAGCTAGCTCTTTCATTGCAAAGTTCTGATTCTATTCAGAAAAATAATTTAATCTTCCCATATTTGCATATCCTGCAGGGAAAGATGATATATTATGATGAGTGCATTAACAGTTAATTAGTAGGAAAAGAATCAAACCTTGGCTATATGGCTACTTTTTTTAGTTTTGCAATAAATACCCCACTAGTTTGGGATGTTTTAGGATCAAAGTGCAATGTTTTAGGAGCTTTGCTACAGGGACCCAAAATATGGGACCAATAAATGGGACAAGTGAGGTGTCCCCCTCCTATTGGATAATGAGTTGGCCATCATTAATGATGGCCAACTCATTATCCAATAGGAGAGGGACACCTCACTTGTCCCCCTTATTGGTCCCATATTTTGGGTCCTTAAAGAATTTTTCATGTTTTAGGGATCATTCCACTCCTACAATGCCAGCTATCAGCAGCATCTATCTCTTCCACCACTAACATAGAAGTCACTAGAAGACAAGTAGATTACACATTTGACATACAAGACAAATATTAAAAAAATAAAAAATAATTGAATAAAACAATTTCCGAAATTATGATTCTTGGAAAATTTTAAAATTTTAAAACATGCTGAAGAACTAAACATGTTGGGAGTACAAAATCTTAGATCTCCAAATGGATTTTAACATTGGACACAAAATGGATTTTGGACTATAAAAGACCATTTCAGAGATTATTTAAATATAATAAATAGATGGATTAATTTCAATTTCCTAAAATTTGTACAATGTAATCTACTTCTTATTAACTAAAAGAGAACACTCAAAAAATTCTTATGAACAGTAAATCTGATCTGGACCAATCAGATTGTTCATAACAAAATTATTCAGATTAAAAAAAAGATCTAAAAAATCCAACTCATCTCCGTACTCTCCCTCTAAACTTCTTTTTTACAACTCACGTTCTCCTTAATAAATAAAAAAAACTTCCCACGTTTCACATCCCACTTTCTCCTTCAAAACGTTTCCAAACTTCCCATTTTACAACCCACAATTCTCTCTCTTCCTCTATCAATCATCAGAAAAAGATTCAGAAAATAAAAAAAAACTCCTCTGCTCCTCCTCCTCCTCCTCCTCCTCCATCTTCAACGACATCCTCCGCCTCCTACGATCTGGTGGGGTCTGCACCGTCGGCTTCGGACTCCGATGGCGATCGGCGGAGCTTGAAGCGGAAGGAGAAGAAGAGGAGAGGGGAGAGTGGGAAGGTGGTTGAGAGATAGAAGCTTTTAGAAAGCCCGGGGTTCTAGATTGGGTGGAGTCCGAGACCAAGCTAGCCAAGGGCTATCACTTTGATGTTCATGGGGATCAGGATAATTTGGTCTACGGCAGTCTTTACAGGTTCATTTTCTTCTAACTTCTTCTTCTTTTTTCCCTCTGAAATCCTGTAGATTCTCACGCGTAGTAAGGTCTATTCATGGGTAAACTCTATATATTCCACTTGAAAGATGGTTATTTTAGGATAGAAGTAAGTAAACAGTGCCAGATGACAATACGATTTAGCTTATTTAAGAGATCATTTTAATGTATCCGAACATTGGGCAATTAAAAAAGAAGGAGCAACATGTTATATGTTTGCGTAGTTTTCAGTTCATTTTTTAATTTCTATGGATCAGAATGTATGAGCTACTTTCTTTTGTCCCGGAACAAGTTTGCAGTTTCTGGGATCTTTAAGATAACCTGTGAAATTTCTGATTGCTGAAAGTAATCACATCACACAAATAAAATTAAAGCTCAAGGAAAAGTTGATGTGGTTCAATTGGTCATCAACAATCAGTATTGACAAGACAATATATAAGCTTCAAGATGCATTTTTTGCACGCGCAAGAGTCAGTATTTTA